CCATGCCGACCTTTTCTCAGGTAACAGGTAGATCAAGGCTAATCATATGCAGCATAGCGCACGTTGATTATGCTCTGTCATGATCACACCAGAACCAGCATGACATTGCCCCTAGCTGTGACGGACTATCGGCTTGCTACTTGTTCACTGGCTAGCTGTACTGAAGCACAATTAGGTGAATTCTTTACTCAAAGGAATTAAAAGTTAATTAAAAACGTTTTATGCTGTTGCACTGGGACTCGAAATCATCACTTCCAGAAATGTGAAGCGAAATTTCTTGTTCACTGAGCTACCGAAGGACGGGAAAATGCTCCCACAGTTGATTTCGAAAGTGTAATCCTAAATTTGAGGCAATCAGTTTTCGATGACTGCTTATCCTCTCTGTTCATGGCAGGAGACGCGTTTGACAGTGTCTTCCAGGTCTCTGATCCTGTGCTAGCTTTTGAGCTTCGGTAGTCGATAACCCGAATCTGAAGCAGAGTCCTTCCATCACTTGCCCAAGGTTATTTCTGGTCGTCGACGGTACCCTCGACCAGTTGGTAGGGCAAATAGTAGCTGTTTCGGCTTGCTTTCTGAATGCATTCGCAATACATGTCCAATCGCAGCTGTGACTAAATCTGGAGTGTACGCCTGAAGTTTTTCATCACCTCATCATCCTCTCTGAGGAAGAAGGCGACGTGCCAGTTTTAATTTTTGCCAAGATAAGTAGTCTCGAATCAGTAGTGTGTTAGAGCCATAAATATTTATTGCTAGTTAAATAGAAACATTTACTATCAAGTAAGGTCAAAGCTGATAACAGCTGCTCAGAAACGTTTGCCTCATTTTTACTATCTTTTACTATTGTAGTGAAATAATATGTGATAACATGTCCATTGCAAACACTTCATCATCAGGTCCTTCTTCTCGAACTTTTTCTTTTCCTTCTTCTCGTTCTTCAGAATGTTCCTTTGCCGGAGTATATTAAATAATGCATAACTCATCCAATACCAGATTTCATGCACATTGCATCGCTCTCTTGCTCTTAATTGTTTAGAGGGATCATTTCCGTCATGGTCTGGTAACGCACATCAGTTATACAACCTTGTCACTCTGAACTCCTTTACAGTTACCGTATTGATGCAGCGTCTGAAGGGAACGCCGGATCGACCTAAGACAATATCGAATAGAACTTTTACTAGTAAGTGATCCACCAACTCCGGTCTTCCAAGTAGCTAGAATTTCAAATATATGTCAAAACTCCAGGTCATTTAAGTAGGCAACGGTTCAAAGATGTTTGTGCACCTGCAGGCAAAATGTATCTGGCATCATTTGGTCAGTTAGAGCCACCTAGCATTCATTACGAATGATGCTAATCAGCTTGAGGTAGCTCCAACTGACCAAATGATGCCAGACTCACTTAGCACTGCAGATGCTCAAACCCATGGTGCCTCTGCTTGCTTAAATGGCTCCCTAATTGACTACGAAAAAAATGGCAACGCGATGCTTCCTGAAATCTGGTCTTGGACGAATCATGAAGCACTTTTCCCTTTTAGCGTACTTCCATTCACAAGGCGCCGTTGCGTGAGTTTCATTCAGAGAACTTCCACTCGAATCGTTGGTTGTTTGGCTGAAATCTTGAACCTGCTCACAGACACCCGCGGTTCTAATGTTATGAAAGCCGACACACCTATCACTTGATACCGTTCGTTGGAACATTGGGTTGCGTTTCACTTCAGCGGCTGTGGTTCGACGTCGTGCCGACTTCGTCGTATCGAGTTACGAGTTTTCCATGTTGCCCAGATTCCCTCGTTTCGATTTCGCGTACTTCTGTACTAACGGCTACGAACTGCGAGGCCGTGGCTATTTACCGCAAAATTGGGTTTCGCCGGTCCACCTACAGTAATGACGTACGTGATTTATGTTTTATTCGGCATATTTTACAGTGAGTAGTTTTTATTCCGTTATCAGGTACATGTGTCGGTAGAATATTGTGATTTTCAGGTACCCTGGCTGCCAGCGAACATGATTTGGAATTCGCTCTGTTTCTGAACTACAACAGGAAACTGCGACCAGCAAAATCACCAGGGCAAGTCACCGTTATACATCTGAACGTACTCCTGCGACATATTCAAAAGCTGGTGAGTGGTCACTAAAAGCAATATTGAGATACAAGTTTTCATACGGCAGGATGAAAAGCAACAGACAATCGCCTTCAACGGAGTAATATCAGCGGTAAGAACAATTTTCGACATTTAGCTCTACTTTCAGCCATCGATGGTCGAACCTATGATGCAATTTCAGTTTGTCTTAAGGGTTTCTTTGTAATTAATCAGGTTTCAACGTAGTGCAATCAATCTGCACAGAGCGTGATGTCCGTTAAAATGCACGTAACAATCAGAACGCAGAAAGGTACTTTAGTCCTTGTAGCATAAGCTATGATCAGGTATTTCGCTTTTGTGAGTTGTCTTTACTTATTGAGGAAAAACCTTTTCATTTTTCCCCTGTGCTACGAATTTCGAACCCTATAGAATGTCATTCACGCTTTTAGAGAAATTGCTCATCTTCGTTAAATGGACTCTTAAATAGGTAATGGTAGGTAATGCTCATTTTTGTTGCTATGTGTGATGCAAGCGATGAGCTGACAAAGGTATTGCAAAATACTTGTGTTCATTTCAAATTCTTGCCGACGCCTTCCTCATCAGTGAAGCTCGACGCGACTCGAGTCACCTAAAAAGCCATTGAGGTTAAGGAAGAAATAAGTTTCTTAACCGTTTCCACTATCTTTCTGAAAGACAAGAAAATGCAACGTTTTCCCCCATCTTCAATTACAGCTGTTTGGGCAACCGTTACAGTACATATGCTCTGTAAATAGGTCCTCATGCAGTCCTTACCGAGGAATATTATTATAATCGTACTTTCCTCTCAGGCATTATTTCACAAGAAGTCTTTAATACGATGCTGACGGCATTCGATTTCCCTGCATTTCTTGGTCTTATTCTTCCATTGTTCTCCAGATCTTCAGTTCTTCTTCCTGATGAGTTGCCATCATCTGCAAATCCTAATTTCGTCGTTCCTTCGTTTGGGTTTATTGCAGACTCGAGGTCTTAATTCGTTTAGCTCCGATTTGTAGTCAGTATGGTTCTGCTAGCCAGATTTGACCTAAAGTCCTAAAGGGGTCTGTCAAATCCATGGTAAGGGCCGTTATTTAGTTAGCCGATACTCGCTTCTTTTATGGCAGAGATTAATATCCTCACGTCAAAGAAAAATGCCTGATGACTGAACAGCGAAAGTATATATAATCATTTCTGTCATCTTTTGTGTCGTCAACCATGCAAACCAACAACGTATCTGCTTCCAGATATTAAATCACGCCGATGAACATGATCTCTTAATGATTCATGAAAATAACTACTGTATTTTGGTGCCAGTCATAAGCTCCAAAACATTTTACAAAATTTTAATTATCATTTTCTAACGGATTTCTGTTTAGAAATGGAGTGATTTTCGGTTAAAGTGGGAGCCTTCAGAGTACAACGACACCATACGCATGAACGTTCAACCATGGATGGTGTG